CATAATTTATCCCCGAGCCTCATAAGCATACATTTGAGAGACATGCTGTTTTCCCTTTCAAGGCTAGTGTGGGAAACTTAGTCACCTCTATAAACTGCTGTGAATGTGTATCATGACATGGCAGGGTGCAGCAATCCTGGAATAAAATTGGCGTATAGTTAGATTAATTGGCAAAAGCCTTGTGTATGTCACGGCAAATGTGCATATGGCACATTTCATGCGATACCTTTTGAACAAATTTAGAATGGCACAAAAAGTGACATTTCTGGAATTGCTCAGAAGATAGTCCTTGACTAATCAAAATATTAATTAATGCATTCTTTTTTTAGGCCTCTTAAAAATATTTACTCAAAAAGTTAAAGATCAAAATGTTTTAGGAATGTGATCCTAAAACCCTGGGCTCCCTATTACCTGAAGATCTCATATTTCAAAGTGATAAATTTTGTGGGGAATCCTGATAAATACTTAGAAATTATGAGCCTTGAAATGTAGTATAGAGTCCTTTACACTTGGTTTAAACAGTATAAAGCTTGGGGATGCTTCGGTTTGATGGTCTGTCGTAAATTCTCTCCAGTCATACAAATGAAAAATGTTGTATTTTTAAAAAGCTAAGAATCCTAGAGACCCATGTAATCCAAGAACATCTGGGGACCCAAGGTAAGAACCACTGTTTTAGAGGATAACTGCTCCCAAATTGTGTAATCCTCCTTTTTAAAAGATCAGAGGGAAAATGGAGTGACTCTAGATGCCATAAAAATGGACTTGGGTTTGCTTGTAACCCATGGACTGCATGATTCCTGCTTCTGATTTATAGGAGCCAATTTATGTAGCAAGCAAGCAAGAAAGAAACCAAGGATGAACCAGCCAGAAACTCCTTGGTACAAATCTCACTTCAGCAATGGAGTTTTGGTTGGTTTAAGACTCAAACTCTCAGCCTTTTCGGCATCCCAGGGACATTGTTTAAGGAACAGATGTGTCACAAAAATTTCTGAGATAATAGATAAACATAAATGTATCCTTTACTCATTCATTTAAAATATTTTTATCCCGCTTTTCTCCTTGAAAAGAACCCAAGTTGACCATTCAGCAGTTCATCCAATACCATTCTATTTTAACTCAAAAAGAAACAGAAAGTCAAGGCACATCTGCCTGACCTGCCTTCCAGTATCCACACGTTCATTGTTCATTTCAAAGGGGGCACCACACCTACAGTTCCTTTATACAGTCATAAACCCTGACATGATCAGGGGTTGTGATGCCATGTGGAAGTCTTATACTCGTGTACCAGTGGTCCATTTTTCATAGCAACACTGAATGCACCGTTGGCAAGGGCAGGGCAAGTAGGCTGGTTCCCATTCCACCATGGTGTTCAAAGGGAAGGTGTGTGTGTGTGTCTCCCAAGAGACCAAAGGCATGTGAAGAACTCTGGAGAGAAAACATCCATATACTGTACTGAAAATCAGGGTGGGAAATCTCAGCAGCTCCAAAGGCTGAAGTGCCAAGGGGGAAAAGAGTAGCCAAAGAGGCTAATTTGTATCAGTGTTATTTTAAAATATTGTTTCTGTTTCTGTTAGCTCAAAATGGATTTGATTTCAGATGTTTTTTAAAAAACTGAAAAAGCCCCACCAGCCCTTTTTCGTAAATAAAAATTGGCAGAGTATGGAGACTCCCATGGGAGTGGGGGGCGTGTCAAAAACTTGTCCTAAAAGGTATGAGGGGACTGTCTGACCACTTCCTTCCACAATAAAATAAATTATGAGGGTGTGATGGGGGTTGAAGGTTAAGGAACGCAGGAGTCTGCCAAGATGCCAGTGCAGGAGACACATGTAGCCCATATCATCCCTTACATGAATCTTGATATCCTAAAATCCCATCAAATAGATAGATAGATAGATAGATAGATAGATAGATAGATAGATAGATAGATAGATAGATAGATAGATAGATAGATAGATAGATAGATAGATAGATAGATAGATAGATAGATAGATAGATAGATATCATCATAGATAGATGTCATCCATATTGATGCTTTATACACAACAGGTTTTTCATGAACTAAATGGGACGTTTTCATAGGAGTCCTTTATTAACTGTACCTCAATGTGCTGGCTGTAGGTCCCAAAATATATTTTTGATTAAGTGAAAGGTTTTAGTTGTGGTATCCTGTCAAGGTTCTCAATTTGTATCTACGGTACTTTTCTTTCTATGACATTAAAAAAGACAGGCTGCCATTTCACTGTGATGTAACATTATTAATTCTTTCCAAACCTCCTCATGTTGGTGCTACATTTTAGGGCAGAATCTTAACACAAATATAATTGCATTTAACATTTTTATAAATGTGCATATACAAAAAACTTCAAAGGCCTTTTTGAATTCTTCATAAATGTAAGGTGGTATTTAAAAGTGTGACTGTTGTCGTAATGATAGTATCTTGATTCTGTACTAGTATTTGTGTGTCATGCTGGCACTAGCTTGAAACTGGCGTGCTGTGTTTTTGTTGATTTTAGTGCTGTGTTGGATCAAATAGAGGAAATCACACATTGTCATAAAACAGGATTGCTCAGTTTCACATAGGGCTCAGCAATCCCTAAACGTCCTGCTGCACAATAGCAATCATTAAACAGCCTGTCATGTAATTGTTATTTCAATAGATAACTGTGACAATACAGACTTTCTTGCATTCCATACAGGCATTGTTCTATGTCATAGTTTCCCTTAATATATCTCCTTGGTCTGGCTAAAAAAAATTGAACACCTTTAAGATGCAGTTCTCATATATATTTCAAAACCCAAAATACATAATGAAAAGGTCAAGCCAAATTGTTTGACTCATGAACTGGGTCCTACAGAACTTCATAAAATGAAAAGATGGTAAAAGCTTGTGAATAATGTTAGGATTCTAGGACCCTATTGAAGTATCAAATACTTTGGCTCAAGATAAAATTTTTTTTAATGTAAAATGGTTCTGTGACACAGGAAAGAGCTTCCCTTTAGGCTTTTACTTAGGGCAATGACAGATATTATAGGTAACTGGCTATTAGATCTGTAAGCCAGTTAGTATTTTGAAGACATGCTCCAGGGGGCTTTATGTTCTTGAGTAATGAGAGTTCAATCAAAGGAATCTTATTCTGATGTCCTGAAGAACAATCACTAAACAACCCAAACTGATATTCAGAGTCAGGGACATAAGAGCATCTCCTGATATCACACTCTCACACAATCAGCCCATAAGGATTTTCATGCTTCAGTGATGATTATCAATAATGTCTATTTCTTGTAGGGATGTAAATCCTTGGCATCTCACCCTAGCATGATGAGAAACTGAGAGCTAAAGGTGTGCCCCACTCAGCTCTTCCTGGGGGTTTTCTGGGAGCTGTTGTCCAAAAACACAAACCTTGAAATCATGGGAAATGGATGAGGTGCTGGATGATTGGAGGAGGGCTAATGTTGTCCCTAACTTCAAAAAGGGAAAAAAACAGGAACCTGGGAACTACAGACCAGTCTGCCTGACATCAAGCCTGTGGAAATTCTGAAACAGATTATAAAGGGGGTTGGACTCGATAGCCTTATAGGACCCTTTTAACATCATTATTCTATAATCCTGCAAACTGAATACCTCTATTTCCTTGCTAGCGAGGATAGTGAAGAGTTTCCTAATGCTTTTGACATTATCCTCACATTGGTGAGAATGATGTTTGCCACAGAAGTGCTCAGTTTTTCACAAAACATCCCATTTTAAGTGTAGAAATGCATACAACTGCATAAATTACATGTATAGGATGAGTTCCCTGAACTAGGAAGTCAACTGTTTTGTTTAAGAATTAGGAGTACTGTAATATATAACTTGTTTTCATCTTTCTAACAATAATTTTTCCAGTCCTTCTGTGTTTGTTATGCATGCTTTGCTTTTATCAAAAGGAAAGGCAGCAAATAATTTTTTTTTGCAAATTGCAGAAAGCTTCCAGTGGAATAGCTGTTTGGAAGTGAGGAATCTTGCAGGGCTTTAAAACCCCTTTCAAGATGTCTCTTAGATAGCCTAGATGTAAAAGTGGAGATTTTTGGCCATTTATTTATTTTATTTAAAATATTCGTACCCCACCGTTCTCTTTAAGAAAGAGATGATGACAGTACGAGCAGGCTCATAAAGGAAGACAGTTCTTGAGACAGCTTGGACCCAAGGCATTTAGGGCTTTATACGTTAAAACCAGTACTTTGAATTGTGCCTGGCAATGGATCGGCAGCCAGTAGCACTGCTTTAACTGGAGAGTAGGGCCTATGTCATCCCTTTAACCAGCTCAGTTAGCAATCTGGCTGCAGCTTTTTGGACTCATTGACGTTTCTGAGCACTTTCCAAAGGTAGGCCAGCAGAGAACGAGTTACAGTAATCCAACTGGGATGTAGCTAAGGCATATGTCACTGTGGCTGGGTCAGACCTCTCCAGGAATGGGTGCAGCTAGTGCACTAGTTTTAATTATGCAAAGACACCCACAGAAACCTGGACATAAAAGTAGTTTTGTTCCTGAGCAATATAGTCCTTTGTGTATTCTACTCACCAGCATTCATACAGCCCAGTTTCTCTTCTTTATTTATAAATAGGAGGGCCATTAGTTGTACTTCTCTATTATTCACAGTGCTTATACACCAGTGGGCTAATCTATAGGAGAAGAGGGGAACTGGACTTGAAGATTATTCCACCTATGGTTATGCTGAGCTAAATAGAGTCTATGGCTATGAGGAAAAAGGATATTGCAGCTGGTAGAATACCAACTGGATATTAGATCTAGTGTAAAAGCATAATTAGTTTGCTATAAAGTTGATTGGATGACCTTGGTCAACTGACTACATCCGAACATAATCTATCACAGAATTGTAAGGATACACACACTGAAAGAGGCTATTGATTTTTTTTCATGAGATGTCTGGCTCATTATTCTGGCTAATGAGTACTAAGAGGTAATTTTCTAAACTACTTCTTTATATCTTGTTTTTAATAGCTCTTGATCCATCCAAAGACCCATGTTTGAAGGTAAAGTGCAGCCCACATAAAGTCTGTGTCACTCACGACTACGAGACAGCCATTTGTGTAAGCCGCAAACAGCTGGCGCACAGGTAAGAATGGGATGATTTATGGTCTCAGTTAAATACCTCTGATTGCTCTGCAGAATATCTCAGGATCTCAGCCGGTCAGTACGATGACATTCTGGCACCAATTAGATTTGGCTGTGTGGCAAAGTCAGGGAGAGCAAATGAAATCCTTCTCCTACCCTGAGCTGGGGAAGATGAGTGGAGGGAGGGAGAAAAAGAAGAAACACTTTGCACCTCCTCAGCTCCCCCTTGCCCATGTTGTGCACCTGTTTTCACTGCCTGTCAGTAGAATATAAGACGGTAGAATAATAAGACAACCAAGATACCTACCCTCTCATTCCAGCATGAAACCCCCGCGCAGATGATAAACATTGCTTTCTCCTATTCATAGTAGCCAAGCAAATAGTTTCAGAAAGAAACTTTTTTTGTTTGCAGGACCAATTACACCAAGCCAGTTTTGGCATGCCTCTAGATTGTGTGTGCCTTGTGTGAAAGGAAGAGGCTGCTGAGATTAGTCAGGAAAAGTTGGGGAAAGTAAGGATGTTCATACACAGTCTTAATTAGATGTTGCAAGAATTGAGCCCTGATGGTATTATTTATTATTATTATTTACATCTTAGATTTGTATACCGTGCCATTAGTGCAAAGCACTATTCTGTGTGGTTTACAGCAGATAATAAAACAGAGCAACAAAGAAATTACATAAAACCAATCAACAGATAAAATCAGTTGCAACAAGAGGCCTGATTCCAAATACAGGGCAGTGTGCAAGGCATAAAAATCAGGCAGGGTTGTATTGGAAGGTTTCTCTGTAAAGCAATGTCTTCAGAAGCTTTCTAAATGTTAGGAAGGAGGGCGCCAAGTGCAGCTCCAGTGGGAGATGATTCCAGGGTGTTGGTGCCCCCCGCGAAGAAAGCCCGAAGGCTCGGCTCCTCATACTTGATTTCTTGGCCTCCTTTGGAGTGGACAGCTGGAGGGGTATTTCTTGGGAGGATCTGGTTATGCAGGTAGATGACCTTGGGAAAAGGTGCTCTGCTAAGTACCTTGTTTCCAAACTGTGAAGGGCTTCATATGTGAACATCAACCCTTGAACCTAACCCAGGACACAACAGGTAAACCAGTACAGGTGAGCCAGAACTGTGGAGATGTGATCAAATTTGCATACACCAGCCACCAGTTTGGCCACTGCATTCTGGACCTGCTACAGTTTCCAGGGAAGCCCCATGTAGAGAGCATTAGAATAGTTGATCCAGGAGATGACCTATGTGTTACATATACAGCACCGATGTTACCTGTCTGTCATGGGTTTGGAGGGAAAGTTCCATCCTATGGGGAGTGGAAGGCGGGACATCAGGAGGAGGGGCTGTACTGTATAAATATGTGATGCCTGTGTGGTGAGAGGGAGATGCTGAGAGACACTGGGTTGTGACGAAGCAGCAGCTGGGAAGAAGAAGCTGTTGTGGAAGTCTGTGTGTCAGACAGGGTACTTCTGTGTGTCAGAGTACCAACCTGATAGGTTCAGGTGTCTGTTGGTTAGCCAGAACTGATAGGTTCAGGGTCTGTGCTTTAAGTTAAGGGTTCTGGGTGAACCAACCTGTATGCTTGTATGTGTGAGAATAAGCCACGTTACTTTATCCTATTCACCTGATTGTTTATTTTTCCCTGTGTGTATTTAAAATAAACCTTATTCTTTTTATTGTTTAAAAATCCATCCCTGGTCTGTGTGACTTCTTAAAGGGAATGGTTGGTGGCAGCTTAGTGTAACTGTGTGACCTATCCCAGTAGGTCTGGGTTTGTCACATTGATTGGTGTCCAGCGTGTGGGATACGACTGGTCCAGTTGTCCAGTGGTCCAGCAAAGCCTTGGCAAGTGTGCCCAGAGCAAGGGGGGTCTAGTCAGGGACAGTCTGAGGCGCGTAGGTAATCTTCTAGGTGTACCTCACGGGGAGGTGCGCTAGTAGAAGAACGTGCCAACTGGGGAGACTTAGATTAAGGTGCTCTGAGGCAGCCTAGTTTTGGCGGGAAAAAGCTGAGGCAAAACTGCGTAGTAACAGTGAGCTAGCTTGCCAGCTGAGAGGCCCAGCAGAGGGGGGTAGGCTCTGACTCGATACTGTTGCAAATT